TTATAAAAGTGAAGATGTAGGTGGTGAAGAAGTTCACCTAGATTGGCTGTTGCATATATTGTTGTTGTTGTTCTTCTTCTTTTTTAAAAATATATTTTATTGACTTTTTACAGAGAGGAAGGTAGAGGGATAGAAAGTTAGAAACATCAATGAGAGAGGAACATAGATCAGCTACCTCCTGCACACCCCCCACTGTGGATGTGCCCACAACCAAGATACATGCCCTTGACCAGAATCAAACCTGGGACCCTTGAGTCCACAGGCCACCACTCTATTCATTGAGTCAAACCAGTTTCAGCTTCTTCATCTTCCTCTTTTCACTACCCCAAATAGAGAAGATCAAGCACAGATTAACAGAAAATATGGTGCCAATGAAAAAAAGACAGAAGGAAAATCAAGAAAATAATTATCTTAAATTATCAGAAGACTGGCATGGAGTAACATCATTGGGAAGTAGCAATCAGAGGGGTCCTGCTGTCCTCCTTCTGGAAAACTTCTGTTCATCCTTTAAAACTCAGCTTAAAGTGAATTCACAAATGTAGACTTCCAGACTGTCCAAAACCAATTTAACCAATCTGTTATTACAGTCTCATGACATTTTGTCTATATCTCTTTTGTACACTTAGCAAATTGTACATTATTTTATCTCTCAACATGTCTGCTCCATAATTAGATAACAAATTCTGCTCACTTTTATTAAAAAAAAAATTCTAGTACAAAGTATAGTAATAGATCTATTATCACATTAGTAGATCTCAATTAATTAATTAAATTGCAGTAGGAAAGGAAGAAGGACCTGTTTCGTGCAGAGTCATATTGAGAGAGAGGAATATAGTCTCTGAGACATCTTGAGTCAATGTTCTTATTCTCATTATGGAAACAGTGAAAATGAGAGTGAGAATGTTAGATAGGAATTGGGGATTAAGTAGATGGAGCAAGAGACAACAGGCAACTCTCATAGGAACTGAGTCATAAATGGGATTGCCAAGCTCCATTGTGAAGCCTTAGGAAAATAGGGAACCAAGTGTTTGTAGGATGCCCATATGTTTTTATAGGATTTTTATTTTTTACCTCCTCATTGTCTACTATAACTTGAAAGTAATAATGAAGAAAATACAGGTAAATCTTGCCTAGACTGAGTAATGAAATACAGGATAATTTGATGTTCTGTGGAGTGAAGATCTAAGAATAGCAGGAATGGATATTGATATCATTAAGGAATATGGCAGTCATGATAATATAAAGTCACAAAACTGTAGTTTTCTGACCATCATTATGAAAGTCTGGATTATTGTTTTATTTGAAGTAGAAACTTGGAATCAGTGTGAAACTGGAGGGACTCAGGGGTGGATCAAACAAAAGGCAGAATTGGGATGGGAATGAGGAGAGGGAGAATAGAAATGAAGTAATAAATATAGATTTTACTCTTATTGCAAAAATATTGCTTAATAAACTGATTAGTCATATAAAAGAACTATGAGCTGTTGTGTTGTTTTTTTTAATAAAAAAAATCAAAAAACTTTTCCCCCCCTAAATCACCTGTTTCCCTTGAGACTTGAACAGGTAAATGAACCCAGGATGATAATAAAAAAAAAATCTCATACAAAAATTATATTCATGGAAATATCATGACATAATATTAGCATGCAAAATATCTTTGTTTAAATCCACACTCCACCACCATCATTTTCTGTGTGCCCTTAATGAAACAATAGTTCCTTGGGGAAATAATATGGTCAGGGCATTTATTCAAGCTTTAAAAAGTTAACCAAAGAAACAGAAAACATATGAGGTTAATATTCAAGTGTTAATGAGGACTTAGTTATTATGAAGCTTACACATGTCCTAATTAAAAATAATTGTATGGTCCTGGAATAGGGAGCTTTAACATGGGGAGGTCTCAAGGCCACTCCCGCCTCTCTGAACTTCAGCTTGGGTGTCACTCAATAGTTAACTTTAATGGGAATAATGAGATGCTGAGAAAACTAGTTTCTCCAACCAAATGCTCCTGAAGCTGATTCAGGTGAGAAAATAAATTCCATAGTTTCAAATGAGAAATACATGGGTGGGCATAAGTAGATTAATGATGATGATGTTAATAATAATAAGTAATACAATAATTGATTAATAAATAATTGACCAGAACTGAGCCTGGGATCCTTCAGTCTGCAGGCCAACACTCTATCCACTGAACCAAACCATCTAGGGCACAATTTACTTTTTAACAAATTTCAGCCTTGGCCACTCCTAGCAATCTGTGCACTTTAGAAGATAATAACAGGAAGGATGGATAGCACATGTGTGATGGTCTCTCTCAAAGCATGAGGTGTACAAATGAGCAGCAGAGCCTTTCTCAGCTTACCAGAATCAGCAAAGTTCTAGGGAGCTGTTACTTTGTACTGTGCAGAGCACCCTGTATAAGCCCTTGCACATAATGGGCCAGAAATAGCTATTTTATCAGGAAGATGTTTCTGTCTTAAAGGTAAAGTAAGGGAACATGGTGGGGAGTTGTCCTTCCTATCACTTAGAGAAAGTTGAAAAAGCTCAGAGCTGGGGCAAGGGGAACTTGGCTCAGTTAGTTAGTTGGAAACTCTGGGTCTGTGTAAGTTTCCTTGAGCTGCTATTCTACAAACTACCACAACAGGGCAGCAACAGATTTATTGCCTTAAAGTTCTGAGGCTAGAAGTCAGAAATCAAAGTATCTGCAGGATTGGTTTTCCCTGAGGCTGTGAGGGAAAATCTGTCCTTGATTTTCTATCAGCTTCTGCTGGCCTCAGGCACCTCTTAGTTTGCAGTTGGCATTTCCCTGTGTCTTTCCTTTATAGACATTTGTCTCTATGTCTAAATGTCCCCTTTTTGCAAGGATACTATTCAAGTTGAATTAGCTCTAACTCTAATGACATCTTAACTTAATCATCTTCCAAGAAGATTACAGTCATAGGTACCAGGAATTAAAGCTTCATTGTCTTTTGGGGGAACACATTTCAACCCAAAGCAAAGTCTTTTCTGAATTATTACTATTTGTGTGAAAAGTGAAGTCATGACACCAAATCCCAGATCTGTGCTTCCTGCCCCATTCTTGGGTGAATGCTTTTATTTCTTAGTAGAATGTTATTTTTTAATCATATCTTCCATAGCCCCTTATCATAGTCTTCTAATTAATATTTATTTTTATGACCTTTTATTTACATAGCTGCCAAGAGATATTTCTTAAACATGAAATTAATAATGTTACCATCTTATTTTGTGCTTTCTGTTCTGTGGTTAAAGAGTAATATAAATGCCTTAGGATGGTCAACAAAGCCTTTATTGTCCAATTATGCACTTAAAAATGTGAAAACAAATTTTAAATGGAAAATCATAATAGATTTGATAACACAAAATAAGATATTTATATGTCCAAAATGCCTTACTTAAGGTTATAAAGAAAAAAGAAAAAAAAAAGTAAAAAAAAAAAAAAAAAGAATGAGGAAAAATGTGACAGAACCCAGATTTATTTTGATTTGTATTATAAAATAATTTAAGTGAATAGAAAAAATGCTGACAAAACATTAATGGGCACAAGTTATAATTATGTACCTCAAAAAGAAAAAAAACACTTCTGTATATTTGAAAATAAATTTTCCAACTATTAATAAAAAAATAAAATAATGGCAAGCTTTCTTTTTTGCTATTTCAGTAAGAAACTACTTTATCTTTTTTGTTTTGTTTTAAATCAGTCTAGCCAATGATGGTGAGATTTCATTAACAAGCAAAATTGTTGACTTTATATTCTCAAGAACCTGAAATTGACTGTCAGAATTTAGACCTTATTTCATGAAAGCAGAGAGTGAGGGGGTATGGAATCCCTGATAATCACCAATAAATCGTGGCCCTTCTTAATCCTGTACTCTACTAGTTCTATTAACTGTCATATCCTTGAAGGAGGGCTAGAAAGAAGGAAGGAGATGGACTTAGCATTCAAAAAGAGAAAGAAATTCAAGCTCCCCAAGTTTGCAACTGGAGGCAGAAGAATAAGTTATATCCTTTTTTATTATTTGCTACTTTTCCCAAATTCACCCAAAGAATGTAAATTCTTTTTTTTAATATATATTTTATTGATTTTACACAGAGAGGAAGGAAGAGGGATAGAGAGCTAGAAATGTCAATGAGAGAGACACATCGACCAGCTGCCTCCTGCACACCCCCTACCAGGGGTGTGCCCACAACCAATGTATATGCCCTTGACTGGAATTGAACCTGGGACCCTTCAGTCCACAGATAGATGCTCTATCCATTGAGCCAAACTGGCTTTTTATAATCAGAAATAATCCTATTTAAAAGATAACATGAATCCGTCTTAACCATTAAAAAAAAAAAAAAAAACTTCCTCTCTTGAAGTTAACAAAATCTATCAATTTTATTCTATTTTTTCCCCTTCATGCTTCAAACTCCTTTAATAGCAGAGCCCCTATTTTATTACACAGACATGTTCCTTTCCTCATAGGCTGGTTTCTACAAATACCTCCACCTTGAACAGTTTAAAAAGTCTCCCAAATCTGTTCCCTAAATTCATTGCCGTTCTCTCCCTGCAGCAGTTCAGACTCTTGGGCATTCTCCTTCTCCCTAGGAGTATTTTCTCCTTTATATTTTGCCATTACTATAGTCATTCTTTAATTGCTGAGACTGACCAGCAGACCCTGAGCAACAGATGAATGGATTACTCTGACACACATTTCTGTGAAAGAAAAGGCTAAGGGGCTGCTTGGCAGGAGGCACCAAAACAGCTCCAATTGCCTGCCTCCTTGGGCTTTTATTGTAAAAACAACTTGAACTAAAATTAACCTCTAGATACAACCAGCAGGGTAAGTATCCTTGAGAAAGCACATGCTTCTACAAAGTCGGGTTTAAAGACCAAACATAGAGATTCCAACAAAACACTCCCTGGGGCTCGGACTTGATTGGAAAAGTCAAGGCAGGAGCTGCTGCCTTCAGCAAGGTCCCCCTAAGAGGCCCCTGACCTTTTGGAGAATCTTCCTTACAGACTTAACAACTAAGTCCCATGCTTCCCCACACTTAATTTATGTTTTTATTTCCCAGCACATTGTGCCTGTTGTACATCTTTGCTCTTAAATCCTCTATTCTTCTCTGCCTGTGAGTTGATAATTGGCAATGTATTGTGCTATGTATGGGTCTAGACTGGGAGGGCAGAGAAGGCATCACCTTCAAGGCTATACGGATCTTTCATGTTCATTCCAAATGGTATACTTTATTTTTCTATCTTTGCTATTCTGATGAATACTTCTCTTATTGATCAACAGCTCTGGGAGTACACTGTGTGTTTAATAAAATGTGTTCTTTTTTAAAATAGTTTATTGATTTTTAGAGAGAGAAGAAGAGAGAAAGAAGCATCACCAATGTGAGAGCATAACATCAATCCATTGCCTCCTGCATACACCCTATCAGAGATCTAGCCTGCAATTCAAGCTTATGCCTTGACTGGGAATCCAATTGGCAACCTTATGGTGCACAGGACAATGCCCAACCAACTGAGTCACACAGGCCCCGGGCATAAAATGTGTTTTTAAATAGAGCAATTATGTTATTTTCATACATTTGTGTTAAACAGAATAATGCCTCCACCACCTCCCATAATATGCCTGACTTAAACCATGGAACAACCCTGTGACTATGTCATCTTACACAGCAAAGGTATTTAATGGTCTCTCCCTTTGCACATGATATAATCCTGGAATATCTGGAGGACATTTACATGATATAATCCTGGATTATCTGGACCTAATGAAACCATAAAGCTTCTTAAAATAGAAAGGTGACAATGAAAGCAGAGAATCAGAGTGATGGAGTGTGAGAAAGACTCCAGCAATCACCATTGGCTATAAAGATGTAGAAGTTGGACAATGAGCCAAGGAATGCAGGTGCATTCAACACTCTAGAAAAGATGAGGCACTGGATTCTCCCCTAGAGGTTTCCAAAGGAATATGCCCTACCCACAATTTGAATTTAGCCCAGTGAAACCCATCTCAAGTCTGATTTCCAGAACTGTTAAGATAATACAATTGTGTTGTTTTAATCTACCAAGCATTTGATTATTTTTGTTACAGCAACCATAGGAAGCTAATACAGCAGTCCCTTGTCATATCCCATTTCTCCTAACATGATCTTACAGAGACAGCATTCGATGTTTCATGAAAATGAATAAGGTATTTAGGATTTATCACTTATTGGATTTTTGCATGCTCCGAAATTCAATCAGATACGCTCAGCTGTCATATTTCTAAATACATGCCATTTACTTAAGAATATGAGTCCTTTACTTGGGACTAAGCATCACGGCAGAGAAAAATTACTTTTTCAATTCAGGCTTTCCTCACCCTCTGAAAGTAGAGCATTCCTATGAAACCTTAGGAAGTCAAAACAGCGTAAAGCCAAGAAGCAATTACCTTAGGACGCATCTGGCTAATGGATGCACAAAATAAATGGAGATAAAGCGCAGATGCTCATGGGCACAGTTCGAAGCTATGGGGCTCCATACTGAGAGGCTGAGTAGTTCCTGGGAAAGGAGCTTGGTGGGGCCACTCTGGCACCTTGGGGCGCAGGCCACCTCTATGAAGGCTCTCTGCAAAACAAACACTGAGTGCTATTTTCTGCTTTGGGGATGTGCTTCAGTTAGCAGAAATAGGCACTGTGAAGGGTTGATTGCAAAAGCAAAGGGGCATAAAGAAAACTTTTGAAAAGCAGGGGACACCTGTAAATCAATGGAGTTAATGAGTCTACTTATCTTGCCATCAGTCCAATTTCCTTTCTGATCTTGACAGCCTACTAGCAAACTCAATTACTGACAATGGCTCAGGCCCCTCTCTTCTCTTTCTTCCCTGGCCCATGCTGCTCAGTCCTCTCCTGTAGCTTCATGTGCAACATTCTAGCCAGGACTGCACAGACTCACCTGGCTGAGGCATTTGGTGATTGCTGTGGTCAGTCCATTCTCTGATTAGAATGTTAGTATGTTCAGTGCTTTTTGGTTTATATCGATACATCCTGTGACTTCATTTAATCTCTGCAGTAATTTGGTGATAGAAGTATTATTTTTGCCTGCAATTTACAGTTGAGAAAACCAAGTTAAGGGGAGTTTCCCAAGAAGTAAATGACAGAAAGATTTAAAGGGAAATCTCTTAATTCCTTATTCATTTATAAAATGAATGCGATTTTGCTGTATTACAGTTGCCCTTGACATTTTATTTCAGTATCATTCTTCTAATACACATTGTGCAAAAGTATTTTTTAATGATGACATTACTAATACACATTATAAAACCATATGAAAAGCACAGAAAATGAAAGGTTTTCAATCATCTATAATCTTATTACTCAGAAGATAATCACTATGTTTTGTGTGTGTTTTTCTTTATTAAGATAATCACTATTAATGTTTTGCTGTATTTCTAAATATATTTCTGTTAATTCCTCCAAGTATATTTCTATGGACATTGTATTTTAATTTAGAGTTTGGTATCACATTCCATTTTCATTATCTTGAGTGAAATGGCGTGGCATTCTAGCTTTATTTTATTTAAAATTTTACTGTATCACCTTTTAGTGACTTATTTTTTCTGTTTATATTTAAATGTAACTTAAGAATGTATTCACTTTTCTACAGTTAACTTTTTAAATTTGATTTTAGAGAAGAAAGGAGCGGGAGAGAGAAAAATATTGATCAACTACCTCCTGCACACTCCCTACTGGGGATCAAGACAGAAACCCAGGCATATACCTTGACCAGGAATCTCTCAATGCATGGGAAGTCACTGGATAAACCGAGGCACACCTACCAGGGCTAGAGTTCACTTGTTCAGGATTAGAGTTGTGCTTTTTAAAATGTGCTCAGACCAGCAGCACCAGCAATCACTTGGGAGCTTATTAGAACTGCAGATTCTCTACTGAGTCAGAATCCCCTCGTGAAGGCAGAGCCGTTTTAATAAGCTCTGCAGGTGATTTTTCACACATGATAAAGTCTGACTGAGATACTGGGTTTTCCATTTGTGTTGATGAGGCAAAAGCAGCTCATAGGCCTATCCTACGTTAAGGACAAGCAGAATAATCCTCATAGTTTGAAGGAAAAGAGAAGAGGTTTTGCTTCCCAAACTGCCTACATCCACTGCCTTCTACATCTACTAGCACTCTTAGTTACCTGGGTTGAGATGTGTTGCCCTCTTTAAAATGCTAACATGCTTACTTAGAAATGCAAGTGTGACTGACGCTTCCCACCCATGGTGCTTTTATACATATGCATGTGCTTCTTATGATAAGACAACTAAGCATGTCTTCAAGATAATTCAGTCTTGTTTAAGAAATAAAATGTTTGTATATGAAATCCAATTAACAATTAATAAAGCCCTAGTTTATCATAATTAAATATTACAATACGAGGTGAACAATGAATGGCTTTAGTTCTACAGAAAAATAGACATGTTGCATGCAGAGTCTCCTTAAGAAAGACGGAATATGAATGGGACCGAAATAATAATTATCATATTGATCATAAGAATTCCACCTATTAAATACTTACTATGACCAGACATAATATTAGGCAAATGCTGTTGGTTACTTTCTCCAATTCTCAAACCACCCTTAAATATACCCATTCTCAATGGAAGGCTAAATAAAGTTAAAACACTTTGCCAGTGTTTATAGCACTTCATGAAATCAGAATTTCAACCCAAGTCTGTTTGACTGCAGGGTGCTGCCTCTTACCACATCTGCCTAAGTAGTAACTCTGATTAAGAAAATTTATACATTGAGCCAAAACCGGTTTGGCTCAGTGGTAGAGCGTCGGTCTGCGGACTGAAAGGTCCCGGGTTCGATTCCGGTCAAGGGCATGTACCTTGGTTGCGGGCACATCCCCGGTAGGGGGTGTGCAAGAGGCAGCTGGTCGATGTTTCTCTCTCATCGATGTTTCTAGCTCTCTCTCTCTCTCCCTTCCTCTCTGTAAAAAATCAATAAAATATATTAAAAAAATAAAAATAAAAATAAAAGAAAGAAAATTTATAGATTGAGAAAGAGGCTTATAGTATATATATTGCAGATGAAGGCAAACTCAGGATGGGTGAGCAATCTCCTATGTCAAATTCGCCTGACCAGAGTACAAGGTTTATATTGGCAAATTCCTAAAACCAGGAAAGATCTATTGGATTATAGCAAGTCTTACATGCATAGAGGCTGATCTGAGGTATAATATCATAGATACTGAAGAACCATTACACATTCTTTGAACATTACAAAAGTAATAAAATTGGATAAAAAAGCATAATTTTATGGGAAGTGAAGAGATATTTGGATGAGATAGTGGATTAAAAGGGTGATTGTTATAAACCAGAGAGCAGGTACTAAGGAAAATGACTGAGGTGTTGGCAAAATAACTAATTATTAAATATTATGGAAGAAAGATAAAAGGTTTTAATAGCAGGTGGTCAAAGGGACTTTAGAATTTGAACTTGACATTGTGGATGACTTTGAGCTATACTGGGAAATTATAATAATCTGGAGAGAGGTTGTCAAAGATGAATAATTAGTTTGTTTTCAGATGTTGTGGGTTTAGAACATTCTGAACTCTCTTCCATGTCTTACCTGGTCTCAGTGTACTATTGCTAGATTTACCTGGTCTCCATATGCTAATGCTGTTACAAACATGTGAATCAGTCACCTCTACTCTGTGCTTAAATTCTCATACTAGTGGTCTGGTGCACAAGAATTGTGCACTCATGTGGGTCCTTCAGCCCAGCCTGCGCCCTCTTGCAGTCTGGGATCCCTTGGGGGATGTCCAACTGACAGGTTTGGACATCCCTAGCACTGCTGCAGAGGCAGGAGAGGCCCTTGCCACCACCACTGTGCTCACCAGCCATGAGCCTGGATTCTGGCTGAGTGGCACTGCCCTGTGGGAGAGCACTAACTATCAAGGGGCAGCTCCTACATTGAGAATCTGCCCCCTGGTGGTCAGTCTGTGTCATTGAGACTGGTCATTCCTCTGTTCAGTTGATTTGCATATTAGCTTTTTATTATATAAGACTAGAGACCCGGTGATCAAGAATTGTGTATGGATGGGATCTGTCCCTCAGCCCAGCCTACACACTCTCCAATATGGGACCCTAAGAGGAATGTTCGACTGCCTGTTTAGGCCCGAACCCACCAGAATATCTTCTAATCTTCTGAATCACTTCCCTGGAATATAGTTGAACTACTAGGAGTTTTCTTTCCAAAACCTACATCTAATTGTGACCTCTTCCTGATTCAAGTTCAAAAATACTTCCTCACTGCCTTTCACTTGGTATGGTATTCAAAATTAGAGCAACTATAATGTATTATCAAAAGAAGCCACTGGGGTATAGAAAGTGAATGAATTAATCATTATGTGGGATAAAAGCTGTATGGGTTCTGCTTAACTTCCTAGCCACTTCCTCTTCTAATAGCACTTTATGCATAAGCAATACCCATATAGAGAGGGATCCCTAATCCAGAAGTTCTTTATCCATGTTGTTCACAGCTGTATCTCTGTAGTCTAATCTACTGCTCAATGCATCATACGGACTTAGTAACTATTTGCAGGGGAAAATAAGGACTAAGTAAATAAAAACATTTTAGAATTGTTTGAGTCCAGTGTGTTGTTGAAATGAAGTAGACTTGGAGGTCTAACATCTTTGCAAAGAGGAAACCAAGGAAAGCCAAAGGGAAGCACGGAGAAGATGGAGGAGGAAGGTAGGAAAGGAAGTCCCAAGGGCAGATATCCTACTCCATAATTGAACAAAAAGCAGATGTTGGGAGTAGGAGTTAAAGTGCACAGTACCTAAAGTCTTTAGTACTTGCATTTCAGAAATGTGGATTTTTATCAGAATTCTTAATTTTGTAAAGAAATCTTTCAAATTCTTCAGAGGTATCAAAAAAAGTTTTTGCAATAATATATGAAAGTTCTCACTACAGAGGTGACATGTAAATTTTGTACTTTGGAAAACAGTTGGCATCTCCAAGAAGAGAAAATGTGTCAGGAGCAGGGGAACAAAAAGGAAAACAATGAAAAAGAACCTGTAATTCAATTACATTGATAGCAGCTTTCTACACCAACAAGATTTGATGTAATTAAACCACCTGTAACAAAATGAAGCAGGGACATTTCTTTCCTTTTTCCTGAAATAAATGAAGAAATCTTGTGACACTATACTACTATACAAAAAATGAACTCTTTGTGTGTGTGCATGTGTGTGTGTGTGAGAGAGAGAGAGAGAGAGAGAGAGAGAGAGAGAGAGAGAGAGAGAAAGAGAGCTCTTAGTTGATGATCAAGCAAAACAGACAATACTTATCTTGTAAAATAACAGCCTTTACAGTAAGAAGATGGTATCTATAAATATCTAGAGATTCTTTTTTTTTATCATGAGCCCTAATACAATGAACATTACATCAAGTTAACAATTTCATGATTTTAAGACCATTTCCCAATAATAAAACCTTAGCATGAATTTATTATCTTTGTTAGAACAGAAATGCTTATAGAGTAAATGTAAAGGAAAGAATGCTCATTCTAGCAAGAGGATACAGTCCTCAGCAGTGGTAGCCAGTATGTGATGTGTTCCTGGGGCATTTGTCCGGGGAGCCATTTGTTCCGTGCTGTGCTCACGTAGGACATTTCTTTCCAGCCATCTATGAGCCATCCTGCGAAGCGTACAAACACCTAGGGCAGACGTCAAATTACTACTGGATAGATCCTGATGGCAGTGGACCGCTGGGGCCTCTGAAAGTGTACTGCAACATGACAGGTAATGATGCCATATTTACGTTTCATGAGCATTGCTTTTCTATGTGTTGGAAATAAGTGATGTCACTGAATTTTGTTTCTTCTGCAATTTCTATGACAACACACAATAAACTAAATATTGCATGGTTTGTTAGATAAATAGATGGTGCAATGTATTTCTAAAGCAATTATACTATCCGATGCTGTATGTAAAAAAACGAAATCTACCTTCTCACCATAACAATAAAAATGCATTTTAAAAACATCCGGAGTAGGGAGAAACCCCAGGAAGGTTGAAGACCATGGAAAGAGCTGATCCATGAAGCAGCCCCTGCAGGTACCTAAGTTGGGGAAAGTCAGCATCTCTGCTCAGCTTTCACACTGCCCATGATTCAGGAAAGCCCTCAGACCACTCTTCATAGTTCCTCTGTTCCCCATGGTTATAAAAGGAACCCTTCTGGGGGCTGAAATCCCATCTGGCAAAGGCAAAAGCAAAACTTGCCTGCAGCTTTCATGAAATGAATCTGCTTGAGAAGAGAACCTAGTGTTTCCCTTGCTCCATATTAAATTTTGGGGGCTCTTGCAAACTCCCACTATAGCGTGTAAGATGGACAACTTTCTAGAGCCTATTTTCTAATAGACACTGGGTGACATCGTACTCTCTGAAATGGAATTTTTGGACTGGAACACGTGGTGTTCTCCGGTGCAGGATATCCTGGATTCTTTGTCTGTTGGAGTCAAAGAATGAATCCATGGATAGAAGGTGGTATAATTGTCCCAATTATATCCCAATTGATTAATTATCTGTCTAGACTTAGTGGGACAAATGTAGGTAACCAGGAGTCAGCAATATCGGCCTATCCCATGGTACTTCAATGTCTCCACAGCTGGGCCGAACTGGAACACATGAACACAAGATTAGCATATAATCACACAGGGTTTATTAACCCATTTCTAGTGGGTCCTAGGCTCCTGCAAAGGCCACCCGAAGATGCACACCAAAAGACAGACTAGGAAGACGGAGATAGGCAGGCAGCCGCAGTTGGTTCAGGCTCACACAGCAGAGCAATCAGTCAGGGGCTTGTCTCATGAAGTGACGTGGAATCCTCCTCTATCTGGCAGGAGATGTTTACTGAAGAAGGTCCCATGCTTATATAGCCGGGAGTAAACAACTTGTGTCTTATCGGTGTGGGCCAGACGGTGTGCCTTATGCTAGGAGCAGGGTGTTGACACTTTAAGGGCTTAGGGCATTCACATCAAGATAGTGGAGTGTTCACCAATTTGGAAGTTACAGGGTATTAGGGTCTCCACACAGCAAACATTTCATGCAATGATCATGTCATATTAGGTCTAGTAATAATTAATGTCGTTTTCTAATACTTTTTTAAATCGAATTTATTTAAACAATACAACAAAATTTAATCAACAATATAGTTGCCGTTGTTTTCTACTACTTGTGCCCAATGCTCAGGAAGCATTTTAATCCCTCTGTTGTAACATTCTTGTGATTTTGATGCAAAAAATTCGGTCAATGCATTTTTGAGGCATTCTTCATTATTAAATTTTTTTCCAAGAAGAAAGTTTTGCAAAGAACGAAACAAATGGTAATCGGAAGGGGCAATATCAGGAGAATATGCAGGTTGAGGGAGAACTTCCCATTCCAACTGGCGCAGTTTTTCAGCAGTGATTCTTGCAGTATGCGGTCGTGCGTTATCGTGGTGAAGAATTACGCCCTTCCGATTAATCAGCGCGGGTTCTTTTTCTCTTAAAGCTTGGGCTAACCTTTCCAATTGGGCACTATACACTGCACTTGTAATGGTTTGGTTAGATGGTAAAAGTTCATAATGAAGAATTCCTTTAAAATTCCACCAAACACACAACATCACTTTTTTCGCATGCAAGTCAGGTTTTGGAGTGGGCTGCGGAGCCTCATTTTTGTCCAACCATTGAGGCCGCCTTTTCAAATTAACATACAGCACCCATTCTTCATCTCCGGTAACAATTTGCTCTAAAAACGGCAAACGGTTTTGACGAGAGATGAGTGAACTGCAAATTGTGACTCTTTGATTATGGTTGTTGTTGTTCAACTCATGAGGAACCCATTTTCCAAACTTTTGGACTTTGCCAAGTGCACGGAAATTGTCTTTTGTGAACAATTTAAAGTTGTCCAAGCTCTTGTTGGGTAATTTGAGGATTTTGCACCAAAAGAGCTTGAAGAGCTTCTTGATCAAAATTGGACACACGGCCTCGACCACTCTTGTCATCTAACGAAAAATTTCCCTCGCGAAATTTCTCAAACCAATGCTGGCATTTTCTGGCGCTAACTGCATCTTGACCAAGAGCACTACAGATGTTTTTTGCAGCCTCACTTGCTTTTCTTCCTAATTGGAAGTCGTAAAGCATGCAGTGCTGAATATGCTCTTCATCCGCCATCATCTTAGCCCTAGTTTTGCAACAAAAACCAAACCAAACACAAACTTTTTCAAGCAAAACTTGTTAATTGCACTTCACACGTTCTGTAGGTACCACGTATTTGAAGGTTATGTCAATACAAGTCAACGCCAAGCAAGATTTTAAACGAATGTTTAAAAACGACATTAATTATTACTAGACCCGATACATTAGAGGGGTTTCCTATGACCATATCATTGTAACAATAGTAAAGGTGGAAAATCATTAAAGAACAAGTACAGACTCCTATGTGGGGAGGAGAAAGGAGACCCACTGAGTTCCTTTTCCCTATGACTTAAAAGACTGCAGATATTGGTGCCTTGACATCTCCTCTGATTGGTCACTATTCCCTTGGACTGGTTACTATAGTAACTCCTGGGCTCAAAAGTCAAAAACCTCACATGACCTCTCCCCTCCTTCCTTATTGTTTTCCTATTCCCTCTGGGCTTTCTTTTTCTCCTTCTGGATGAAGGGCTTCCTTCCCTTTATTTTGTAAATATAGACCTTTCCCTGTTCCCAGCTCCCTCATTCTATGGAAATGTACCTGTGGCAGCTTTTCAGCTTCCCTATTCTATGGAAATATACCTTCTGTTGTTCTGCAGCCTTGTGCTTTCTCCATGGTCCCCTTAATTTCCAACATTTCTAAAATTTCCTAAACTTGTTCTATTTTACCCCTGAAACTCCTGTTTCACCTCCAAACCCCGGAGAAGAGTGTGTGGCATGCTCTGCTCACTGGCTGCAGGTGAGGATGAGCACTACTGTGATCTCCTGAGCAATATGATAAGGATGATGATCCCATAATGCTACTGATGCTGACTGCTACTGGACTGCTTGCCATAGGCCAGGTATCCTTACTCAGACTACCTGGCTTTGTATCCTGGTCCCATGAATCAGTAAATATATCATCTTGGCTACCTTATTAACTTGATTAAACTCAGTAAGCCTCAGTCTATTTCCCTGTAAAATTGATAATAATCTCTAGTTTATAGCATTATTATATGAATGAAATAAGATATCTGCATATGGTTGTTAGGATATTACCTGACACACAGTTAATTTTCAGTAAAGGTTGCCAGCAGTGGGGTGCTATTATTTTTTGAAACACTAGTGAGTTAAATAACTTACTCTATCATTCAGGCAAGACTCAAACTCAGATATATGCAAGATAATGGTTCTTGAGGATGGATATCATGCTTCAGAATTATGCATGGAGATTTCCCCCCTTTTTCTATACAACCTTATTGGCTCCAGCTCTGGAGACTTTAATTCAGTAGGCATACAATGGACATTGGTTTGTGCAACTAGAACCGAGAACCCAGGCAAACAGACCCAAATTGAGAACTTTCAGCACCATCAGGACACAAGCTTCCTATGGCACAGAATGGAGAAGAGAAGGATGAAGACATGAGTATAGAATGACAGACGTATAGAAAATGGTAAAATGGCAGCTATCCTCCCAAAAATTTTCTCAAGTATTGAGTATTCTAAGTATAGCAGAGAGGAGGAATTCACAGACCAGAAAGCTTGACATAAGAGTCATTTTTTTAGCTTGTTAATGGCCTCAAGAACTTTCTTGTACACCTTCACTCTATAAAGTATAACCTATGAGAACTTGTTTAAATTTGAAACAATCTTGATTTTGCTCTCTCTTGCTCTCTCTCATATATATATCAACTATTATCCTCAAGGGAAATCAAGACATCCTGATTGTGCTTGGAAAATTATGAATTTACTTTAGTTATTTGCCTATATGTATTTTAAAAAGAGAATTAGAAAGCAAACCCAAATCCTAATGAATACGTTCTTTATGTGAATAATACATACAATGAAGGACTGTTTACCTTCTGGAGAGATGACCTTACTGTCGATTGAAGCCATCACTCAGAAGCCTGGGTCTCCTTGTCATAAGTATCTCCCTTAAGGAGTATGGCTGCAGTTGAATGCAGTGTTCTATATACAGTCTGAACAATGAAGAAAACAGTCCAACCTTCTGCAACGAGCATATTTTTATGCTGTCACACAAGATAGTTATGGACACCAGTGTGTCAGGGACCCTTGAAGGCCAGCAGGCATGATGTGACCGTTTGCCATCTATCAACTCTTCCTTAATCTGTAAAGGCGAACTTGACCGTTAGGAGAGCATGGTACCACAAAGTCTGGCTTGGGCTGTTCATTTTTCAAGAGATATATGTTGAAAAAGAGGAGGGAGTGACAGTGTGAGATCGTCTATGAAGTCTTGATATATCACTCTGTGTCATGAGAAATTGTATATGCACCTTACTTTATAGCCTTTCCATTAAATAATAGGGCTTGCCCACTCCTCAGGAACCGAAATGTAATTGGGTGTTTATCACTGTTGAATATATCACATATTTCAAAAATGGAAGCAAGACATCTTCTCTGAGAAAGAAGTAAAAATTTTAAGTAAAGAAATCTCACTTGTTTCTTTACTTAAAAACATCTACCCGAAACAGTAACTTGGGGTAGAAAGTAAATACATATACTAGAGGCCCGGTGCATAAAGATTCATGCAAGAATGGGCCTTCTTTCCACTAGCTGCAGGCACCACCTTTGCTCTGTCCCAGAGCCACTTTTCCACCTTCCCATGCTGCCCAGAAACCTGGAGCAGCTGGGGTGGTACAGAATGCCTGCATTTGTCGCCGTGGTGACCACCAAGGGTCCCACCCCACCCTCCACCACTCAGTGCCTGCATATGCAAATTAACCCACCATCTTTGTTGGATTACTTTGTATATTCAATCCTGAATGGCTAGTGGGCATCACAAAGGTACATTCAGTTAGCATGTTACCCTTTTATTAGTGCAGATTCCTCTAGGATCCTTTTTCCAGGTTTTTTGTTTTGTTTATCATTTATACATTCACTATGTGCCAGGAGCTGTGCTGTGAGAGAATAAATGGATATAGTAAATGCCTTTATGGTACTCACAACTTACAATAAAAACAAGCGTTAAAAAGTAAACAAATGAGTAACTATCTTAGAAAGAAAAATAATGGAATTGTGAGGATTTATTTTGGATAGAGTGTTTTAGAGAAGACCTCTCTGAGGAAGCAACCATTTAGCCAAAATATAAAGTATAAAAAGAGACAAGGCACTCAAAAAGGAGAGGAAGGGAAATGAGTCCTATAAATTCATGCCCAAGGCACCCAAGATTGTTTCCTTGCAAAGAACTGAGACACAGAAGCCTGAAGCAGATTGAGCTAAAGGAGCTGAGAATGCAATCAGCACATAGGCAGGGCCAGAGCAGCCAGGCAGTGGGGATGCTGGTGTGGAAAAATGCTTGGGTTTTAATTCCCCAGTTATATTTTAATAAAGGAGGTGGGAATCTAGCAGAGTTATTGGCAAGAGAATTGAAGGGTCTTAATTAAAATCCTCACTTAGGGTTCTTTGAGAGACTGGGTCATAGCACTGGGACCAGATGGGAAGTGGTTGTAAAAGTCCAGGGAAGAGGTGCTGCTGCCTTGGAGTAGGATAGTGACAGTTTAAGTGATGAGAAAGACATGGATTATAGATCTAGTTTGAAGGTAGTATCAGTGTTGGTGATGGGTTAGTTAAGAATAATTCAAGACAGTTATCAAGAATAACTCCTGAGCCCTGGCTGGTGTGGCTCAGTTGGTTGGAGAATTGTCCCAAGCATTGAAGAGTCACAGGCTTGATTCCCAGTCAGGGCACATTCCCAGGTTGGGGGTTGGATCCCTGGTCAGATACATACAGGAAGCAAGGGATTGATGATGGGATTGAAAGAATAAAAATGTTTAAAAGCTGTCTGTGTTATCTCAACTATCCAAGGCCCCCGCCAGTGATGGGAACAGGACCCTTAAAGTTGTCTCAGGAAATAGCCCCGAGCAGGGAGTAAACAGAGCAAGG